AGGCTGTTGATTTAAATCAAAAGTGCATCGAAAGAGAGTGAACACTTAAGAAACGATAATAACTACATCTTTTATTAACTATTATTTTTCTTTACTATTCTCAACTTTTCATCTTATCTCAGTCACCAGGCTATAATGTAAATGCATGATTTATCAAGTTTTAAGTTATCTTGATAAAATAGCGAAAAGATAGGATAGATATAGCTATATTATTTTTTCATACTATTATGAAAGTGTAGTGAGAATAAAATTACCGCGACAAGTTCAGCGTGAAAGAAAACTAACTTTATTCATTCAGAGATGTTTCAATTTTTTTCATTTACCAGAGCCTCCATACACCCTCAATCTTGAGAATGTTTATATGTACCATTAAGAGCTATTGCAAATTCTATACGGAGTCATGTTCCTATGAGGTTTAAGTTAAGAAGCACATTTCCTTCACATCGTGTTTGTCATGATGTGTGCCTGCAATTGACTCTTTAGCCATCCAACATAATTTTTAATCCTTCAAGTTGTAAAGTTCTGTCAATTCCAGTAAATGTATACCTAGACACATACTTCTGCAGCAGCTTCTCCATTATAACGTCTACAAAAGTGATTATAGCTTGTGAATAAACTAATTAATAGCTTCAGTCATTTCATATGCTCATATTCGATTCTGTTGACATCCAAGACCTGGAAGTTTTTCTTTTTATTTGTATGTATGTTCATACCTATGGTTGAATCGGTTGATTGTAACCTCCCACTTTTATACTCAGTCGTTCAATAAATACAACGAACCAATATAATTTACATTTACTGGTGGATTAGTTTCAAATCGCTTTTACCTAACATAATTATCTGCTCAAAGTTGAAAGTAACAAATAAACGTGTTGTCAATAAATTTCACATATCAGAGTGCTGACTCAAAGTTTTATTAATTTGACGTCCCAGTGATAAATTATAAAAACAAGTCTGCAATACTTGGGCGATTGTGAGTTACACATTTTGTGGCAAAATAACATCACAAATATTGCTCACCAGCTGTATTTCATATGTGATGTTCAGCAACGTTAGTTAGAAATATGATCTTCAAACACCTTTATCCGTCGTTTAGTGGTCTGTATTGTTTAAAGATTTACTTCAAAGGATTACAAAGAATGAAGATAATACAACGTAATTTGTACACCGGCTTCTCAACATTATTTCTAGTCATTCAGTTATTCATCGTAATTCAAGTTTCATAAGACGCGCCTACTCTTACATCATAATTCATGGCTTTGCTACCAATAAACATTTCCTTATGCGAAAAAATACACTTCTCTATTTCTATTATGAACGCATCGGCTTAACTGATGATATTATTATAATGAATTCTGAAAAATTTGTAATATTTGTTGATATTTTCTATAAACTGGTTTGCTACGTGTAACTTATTGTTATCCCAGATTAAATTATTGTTATTATTGTTATTGTAATGCAAATTTTCCAGAGATTAGCAACCCAAACCAACAAGGAGAAAACTAAGACATCCAAGAATCAAACAGTTGAATATTATGAGTATATTATTCTTATGACAATTACAGAAGGAAAATTAATCACAAACCTTTATTGTTTAGGTTTTCCAGAGTCAAAATTCAAAGTGACAAATCAAGAGCCAAAAAATCAAAACTTTCGAGGTCATGACCATAGACAATCCAATTTGGAAAACTGATACATACAAAATTACCATGGATGTTATATCTCTATATTAGATAGTGGCACTAAATGCTGTCGTCATGGCAGTGACAATGACATTCAGACTTTCTGTCACAGAAACTTTTAAGACGGTGTTATGGCAGCAATATGTTTCGTCAATGGTGATACCCCTTCAATGAACAATGCGATATCGCATAATATTTTATGCCGATTATACGTAATTACCATTTTTTTCGACTCATAGGTTCGCTGAATTTAACTAGTAATTTACCTGTAGAATATCTTGTATGAAACATTTTAATTATCACTTTGTATGAAAAAAATGCTTAACTATAAGTACACATCAACTCCAGTAACATAAATTTATGTAGATTCGTTTTCTACTAAAATACCGACAATGATTAAAGTTGAACATTTTTCCAATATTTACAAATTAAACTTCTGAGAAAAAAGACGTAAAGCAGAGTGCTTAGACAAAAGTAATTTTGTTAGCAAGGAGTAACAAGAAATTCATGGAACCAATGAACAGGACAGTGATGTGCAACCTAAATCGTAAGTGTCCTGCGTTTGATCTATTTATGGTAATACAGACAGCTAACATGATATAATACCATGATATTATTCAGCTAGATTTTGCTAAGTAATCAAGAACTCCGGTTGATCATTGACATTCTGTTTCACCTTTTATCTGTCTGCATTCTCCACTTTACTGGTCCGGTTGAAGTACAGGAACTGTATTCTTATTTTCTATTTAACACACTTGATCATCCGTCTGACTGCCCTAAAAACACACTGTCTGTTTTTTAACATCATGGAATAGGATAGGTCAACGACAGTAGGAATAATTCTTTCATGAATGTAGTCGTGGATGCAATCACATTAAGTAGTGACAAAAGACACTGCACAGTGAAAAGGGGTAGATACAACTACATAATGTGATTCCTGAGTCTAGTTAAAGATCCGATGATAAAAATGTTGTTTTTGAGGGATATTATTTGTTCCACTCAGTGGCAACAGTCAACAGATTAACACCTCTTCCAGTCTTTTTGAACTTTATTCCCAGTGTTTAGTATTTTTAATCATTAATTTTTCCACATTATTTCAATGTTCTTCCGTATTCTCCTCATTAATTTCATTTTGTTGTGCTAACATTAGCCAAGGCAACCCCAGGCTATATATTGCAAATGTCTGTTTGTCTGATACGCTCGGTACTAAAATTGAAACATCCACCAAACTGCTAATCTTCAATATTTATTTACTATTAATGCTCACTTTACCAACCGGTTTCGCTAGAATCTATTGTAGCATCAGTGATTTGGCTAGGGCTTAGTGAAAATTCACTGGCTATACACTATGTACTAAAAGCATAGACCTAGATAGCTCCTATTAACGTTTTGTGTTCCTTTGATTAAAAATTGATACTATACATTTATGCATAATCTAGGGATGTGAAAAAGGCTTCTCTTATTAAACTACATTAATACTAAGTTTTCTTATCGTGTAAATGAAATATTGTAAGCACACTACTTAAAGTAAGCAATGTGAAAATGAGACGTAATCAAATTCACTCCAATTATATCATAGTGCATGAGTAATTAAAGTCTGTGAGATAATAATTTACGGACGATCTTTGAGCGACGCCACTGATCTTGAGAATATCCACCTGCCTAGTAGGATCTAAAGAGAGCTATAAGTTTCTGTGACAAATTAGAGTCGAGACTTAAGGTTAGAAGTTACGGCTAAGAATTAAAGTTAGGGTTTTCATCATAAACCTACGCCAGCTATAATGCCGAAATGCTATTTATAGCCATATGTATGTCAATAAATTTCGCACCGAAATTCAGGACTCTCTATCTTATATCTGATTACTTTATCCATAAATTATAGGTTCGCTGTAAAATCTGTATATGCGAAATTTACTTCAGGAGACATTTATATACATACGGCTGCAATAAATAATTATTCCGTGATCATCAGCTGCACATGTGTAAGCTATTAGATTATATCATAACATGGAACACCTCAGGAAATTGTATCACGTTTTACTACAATGCCATATATCAATAAAGCTAACTAAAGTCGAAAAAAGGTTTAAAATAAATAAGGTGAGAATGAGTTGAATGTAAACAAGTTGATATACTGTTCAACACTAAAGGAAAAAGTAATGATGAAAAAATGTGTTGAATCGACCAACAGAGGATTCATCGTCACTAAACTCTACCGTCTGTACATTAGCAGTAGTGAACCTTTTGACATGAATGAAATCAACAGACACTGGTCTCATGAAGTGTTATTACATTATTTTAAATCTTTGCACACAAGTTCCTGAGAAAATAAATGCATCCTAAATGTTTCACCAGTAAAACGCCTACATGAAGTAAATATTCTCAATCTTACTCCAAATGGTAATATGTGTTTAAAAAAATGTACCATTAAGATATAATACTTTCAATGCTGCTTTAGAGTTTCAATTCACTAGCTGAGTATATAAATGATATTTTATAAATAACTGTCAATTAAACTATTATGTATTATAAATATAATTGCCTTATTTCTAGTTACTCATCGCTGACAAAACTAACAGTGTACAGTTTGACCGCAACCTGTCAAAATCCAACTACATTTTTGACAATTTTAAATAATCTAGGTAAAAGTTGCAACGTTTATCACACTAATACACATAATTAAGACACTATTTATTTAGCATTGAAAATTATTGCATGGAGCAGAATAAACCACTTACATAAAAATAAACATTTAATTAAACTCAAATATGAACGGCATCCTGACACTTTTGTCATTTTATTTGTCAACCATCTGACCCCTACTTCTATTTAATTGTATAAACTTCAAATATAGCCCATCTATGTCCTCTTTCAATCTTCTTATATACTGGTCATTTTATTACCACTGAACTTAGTATATTTACTTAGATAATCAATGAGCGATATGTGAATTATACTCTGTACAACAGAATTTAATTATTAGGCTTTTAATTATCCTAAAGTATTCAGTTGCAGAGTTTTAACTATTTATAATTAAATGTATCTAGTAATAATTATCGTACTGTATAATCTGATCACATGAGAATAAATTAATACTAACAAACAAAATGATCTGATTTCTTAAATATTTTATTGGAATTAATTCATTATTTAACAGTAAACATACGAAAGCTCTTTATTCAAACAAACAAAAAAAAACCTTTTCATTTTCATTTTTTATTTAAGTTAACATTAATAGTTAGTTGCCTAGATGATGAACATAAATATTTATGTTATATCTTTTTAACTAATATAAAGTTTTCATTCAAAACAACAGTTCATGTATTCATCTTCATATGATTATATAACAAATTCAAAAAGAAAAGAAAAAAGAAAAGATGTCAAAAAAATGTATTTAAATATAAAGAAATTTTAAAATTCTTGCTTTATAAGCTCATTTTTAATTATACATTATTCAAAAAAATGTTTATATTCAGAGTATAATCAAAGCATCTCGTGATATATTTCTTAATCTAAAAGAAAGTGATTATATTATAGTTATAAATTTTATAAAAAGTAATGATGATTTAAAAAGAATAATTATATATATATATATATATATATATATATATATATATATATATATATATATATATATATAGAATAATAATGCTTACAAAATCTCTTCAGATAAATATTTTGAAAAATATTTACTGTTTCTTAGTTAATTATATATGAGTACAAAAATATGGGAAAAATATTGTTACGGAACCTTTTGTTTATGACAATTATCTCATGACTACTACATCCTATATTGTTTAGGTGATACTTATATAAAAACTGTTTTATTTAACTGATTTTCAAAGTATCAATCAGTCATAGTAACTATCTATTAACTTTAATTCTAACACAATGATAAATTCTATGTTTACTTTCGAATTCGAATAACCAAAATAGAATTAATAATACAGAAGTATAAAAATCGTATTAGTGTTTCTTTATACATTCTGGATATGTTACTATAGTGTCCAACTTCTGATAGCTCAATCATTTAACATAGTGTTTTCTTATGCATTTTATTCTCTTTAATTTGAACAACTTTTTTACACTACTGATCAAAATTCATCTTAGTTGGGTCTATAGCCTCCTCAAAATCTAACAAAAATAAAATAACACTAAATGTAAAACTAATTTTTAATATATATCACCTCATCTTAACATTTCATTTTATTTGCTTATTTCTCCAGTGATAATACTTAAAAAAGCAACGTAGACCTTTACAAGTGTTGCCAAAAATGTAGTGATAGATTTTCACTAGATCTAGGAGATACTTTCAAGACATCTATATGAAAACATTTTACAATCCACTCTCTGAATGTAAATTTTCCGTAAAATACGTTGGTTTTTGACTATCCTTTTTATAGTTTTTGGCATGAAAATTATGTAATATTTACATCTTTACACGCCTCCGAAAGTTATTTGGTGGATAATGTATTATCAGATAATAATAATTAGTTTTGGAATATAAGATTACTTAAAGTGAACACCTAAATGAGCATTTGGTAAACATTTCGACATAGCGTTCAAATACTGAAGTGTGTTTCAAACTCGATTTAATCACGCGATGGTTTAGTACCTGACTGTAGTATTAAAGCACCACTTAGAACGAAGGAATAAATAAGCACTAACATTTGTCATCACTCTCGTCAAGAACCAAGATCAAAAAAGAAACATATTTGGGGTCAATCGATTGTCTACATATATAATGGAAATCATAAAAACAACTGACAGATTTCTATCAGGGCGAATTTTTCAGTCTCTTAAGTGTAGAGTGTGAATAAATAAAACTATACAGAAATACGATTCACTTCTGAATAGAAAAGAACTCGATGAAGTAAAAGCAGCTTGGAAATCAATCTTCTGTTTACTTCCCGCACTTATTTTGAATTGAATGAGTGCTTTTGTATTTAAATATCTAAACTAAGGACTAAACCTGATATTATATATGTCACATTTCCTCATGTAGTTACTTACTGAATATAATCATTGGATAAATCTTTTCAGATACCAAAATCCAGCTTTTGCAATATTTTTTTCAATACTTATTTTTATTCAAAATAAGCACTTCTATTTGTAACGCCCATGAGTACAACCTTTAAGTAGGAACTAGCGAATGAAAATATAATCTGATCATTTCAAGAATCTTTCGTAGTGTAAAAAATATATTTTGAATTGAAACATCTTTCTCTTAAACCTATTTAGATGTTTCTTTGAAAAGAAATTTCTTCGCCCAATTCGTTCCTTCTTTATTTATAAAATGTCAAAATGGGAATTTTCACTATTTAGATGTTTCATCAAAACTTAAAATTAAGATTTAAACATTCATTGAATCTATCAATGTAATTTGGTTGTTATCTTATTACAGTATACTAAGTAGGCATTATTACAAATGAAGAAAAAACAGAGATTAATAGAGAACAAAGTGTTCACTATATTACACGTTTTTCATTTGAACAATAATTTAATATGTATCCAACTTTCTCTAAACGTACCATACATTAACATTAAACTGCTCATTTTGTCAAAAAATATTTGATTTAATTATAAATATGTTGTATATAGAATAATACTTACTCTTCAAATCATTAAAAACTTATGGAGTAATTGTACATGAATAAAAGAGTAAATTAAACATTTAATTGCTAGAACGAAGCATAAATTTGAACATATCAATTCTTTTAGAATAATTTTTATCCCTAAATTTGTATAAATTGTTTTACACATAATTTCCAGTCTGAGTACCGAGTATACTTAATTTACTTTTATCTTTAAATCGTAATGGTTCATTTTCAATAGAAGGATCTGAAATGTACATGATTTAAATATACTTCCCAAATATTCAATTTTTCAGGACACATAAATACATTTATATGATAATTGTTTAAGAGCATTAGCAGAAATGAAAGTTAACCAGTAAAGTTTTCGCCCGTTCGCCAGGTAAACAGATTAACAACAACTGCATAAATTTCAGTTTTCTCCATTCCTTCAATAGAACGAAACATTCATACATGTTAGACATCTAGTTGTTTCATGGCTTTTATTTTAACTGTATTCAGTCGATAGTGTTCAGAAATATTGACTAAAGTAATGTTCACGATAATGTTTTAATGCTAACTGAGAAAACGAAAACTTATGTCTTAAAATAATGGCAACATTAACAAATGGTATGTAGATTGTTTCAGTGGTTTGAATCTTCCAATAGTGAGATCTAAAAAAACATTTGATCAACTAATTTGTGAATATTTAACTATGAAACAATGATTTTTCTCTAGTTTTAACAATTGATTTAAATAACGCTCACCAAAACTCAACATGGTTTAAACAGAAACCAGAAGATGTGTATCTTCTTTATTAATAGTACCCATCGTTTGTATTCCTTCTGCAAACGTTAAAAAAAATTAAATGAAATTAAAAAGCCTTTATGAGAAAAAATTGTTTATATTGCATATTTCAGCTAGTTTCTTTATTTTTTTGATAGCAATAAGAGTTTGTAGACTATTTTAAGCAAAGTATTATTACATTCACCAGACTACATTTTTATAGTCAACATGGAATTACAAAATTTCCTTTGAAACCATTATTTTAAAAATCTCTAGAAATACTTGTAGAAAATAATTTAAGTATGGAGTTTTAAACTAGAACTGATGACGATCACAAGGCATAATACGAGTAAGAAAAAAGGATTATAATTCATATTTCACAAAAAAACACCAGTCAATTACCCAGTAATGTTTGATGTTTATTAAAGAGCAAGCTGGAACTATATAGTACAACAATTTATAGAGATCACTAACAGACTTCTTACCTAATTTTATTTCGTTTGTAAAACCTTTGCGTTTCTGTTCTAATTTGTTCTATTGTCTTATGAAAGTAATAATTTAGTTCACAACATTTTGGTGGTAAGAAGCTAAATCTATGGTTAAGGAATTTGTATATTAACTTTTAAATTGATTTCAATATGCTTGACATGAACAACAGGATCTATTCTTTCACATAGTAAGTAACACTAAAAAGCCTTCATCAGTATTCTAGTCCCTCACTTCTACAGTATAGCAATTTCATAAAACAAATATGAGTCTTAATTGACTTTAATCACCTGTCATTTTGTACAATCACAATAAGTTCTATATAGCCTGGAATGTTTAAGCGAGATACTTTCACCGAAGTTTCAATGAATATAAAATTAAGCAATAAATAAACTTGTCAAGCTCTATATTTGCATAACCCAAGTATTTTATCAGTGACTTAAGTATGATAAGAAATCCACATACACTACCGCTGTAACCACGACTTTAAAAACGCAACGATTACATTTGGCTAAAATTGGTTTATGTATTATAGAAGATTCTACCTTGTATAAAACTGTTCTTCTAGATAAAAGTATGTTAAGAACGGAAATGTAAATTCGCTTACGTATGGTAAATCTGAACCCTTGGGTATGTACGCGGAGAATATGAAAGTGTATTGCCATTATTGGAAATCGTGCTATTTAAATTTTGAGATGGAAAAATGCAAAGTGCAAAAAAATATAAATATCATAAAGGTCCAATATTATGAGTTCATTTCGGATCAAACAATAAAATAACAACCCTATGCCTTTCTTGGTACAGATGTGATAAATTTAGTAATTATCGCCCGATTTTATCTTCTGTGCGCTTCCTCAGATTAAAACACTGTGAAAACTGTAAAGATTTAGTCTCATCTGTAAAATAATTATTTCTATCCAAATATTTTTGTTCACGAAGTTTAAAACGATAACGGGACTAGGCATCATCACCACATTTTCAAATGCATTCCTACGGGACTCCATAACAGATTGTAGGATATAATTACATACCGGAGGCTGTATTAAACGATAAAAAGAATATGAAAATACATTTGCACTACAATAACAATCTGATTCAGACTGTTAAATAATTAAATTATTAGGAATTAACCTAAGAAACAAACATCAGTTAAATAATCGAATTCACACTTCCCGAAAAGTGGCTATATTTAAAATCCTAGAGGTACATCTACAAAATTTAGTCGACTTTTTCGGCAATAAAAATTTAACAGCATCAACAGACACTAGGCCTTATTTTTGTTTAGATATGATACTATCTTTGGTAAACAATTTCTGATCTCTACAAATAAAAGGTTGTACACTTTATGTAAGGAATTTTAAACCACAAGTTACAAGGCAAATATTTTAAGATTTAAATGACTCCTCTATAGCCAGCTTAACATTTCCATATATGAAACGTTTAGCAACTAAAAAGTAATCACACGATCCATCCCAGCATCCATTCGGCTTAAAATAGTCTATTTAGGGCATCCCGATAGTCGGATACAAACTTTGTGAAGATAAATCATATTTTGAACACCATAACTCATCCACAGAATTTTAACAATAAGTGCTCGTCAACTGATCACAGACTTCTGAAGATTGTCAACATTTTAAGTGAAAATCTAATGATTAACAGTTAGTATCTCAAGAATCGCATAAAACACACACTCACAGTCAACTCAAAACACTGACAGTAATAGAACTGGTAACTGACCTTAAAGCATAGAATACACTGTTTTGAAAGACAAACTATCGGGTAGCTTTCCGAAGTTAGCCTATTTAGTTAAAAATTACAGCAATGTGTTTACCGATTAAATTGTGTCCGAAGAGTGCGCATATAAATGGTTTATAAGATCATAATATTCTCAAATAAACAACTCACTCAGGATCTATCAGAGGATTGTTAGACATTGAACGACGACGTGGATACGACGAATAGGTGCTTGGAGCGTACACATCTCTAAAAGATATGTGATAATAGTCATACAGTGCTACAGTTAGAGCACTCAATTACGAAAATTCTATTGTATTAATAAGTATAAACACACACAGAATCTCCTTACAAGAAGTATATGACAGTCAAAGATCACTCTATATGACGAGTAACCACCCACTATATCTTCAACGATACACAACATCTAACTATAAAAATGATAACTTGGTCAATATCAAGTATCCATAATAAAGGATAGAGGATACAACTATTGGAGAACATTAATATGCTGTTATAATTAAGATTGTCATAACCTCTTAAAATATTGATTTATAAAAATACAGGGCAACCGATGTCTGATCATTTAAGTCTCAGTTCGTGTGTCATTCATAATATTCGTGAAGCCTGCCATAAAATTGAATTAGCTCAAGTTGAAAGTAACAGGAATCGGAAAATAATCTAAAACATGTAGTATCAATGATATATATGGAAACTGAGCATTGAGAATATGGTTTTGAAAGGACGAAATAAAGAAGTGAGAATAAAGGGATATTAGCAGTCATGATATAAATTAAAGTAAGAACTATATTTATCTTCACCAAATTGTCTTATTTCAAGTCAAAATACCAGATATTCCTCCCAACCGAATGATCTCCATCATTATGCGAACCCTAACTAGATAACCTGTACATACCTATATGATTTAAGTCAGAAATCTATTAAACATGTAGTTTCCATCCTCTAAAATATAAATTATAAGCTTTTCACCTTCACCTTTATTGTTTCAATAAAAATAAAATATAGTTTTGGATGTATTTTGATTTATTCAAAGTATATTCAATCTCACTTCCATTCGGGAACCACATATTTACCAGACACGATTACACTAATACCTTCTATGATACAGTGACACCAAATAACTAGTGTTCTAGCAAGAACAACAGTCACTTCTGATCCTACATAAATAGTTAAACGGTTTCAATAGACGATATTCAAAACTCGTATTATGTTAATCCGCTGCTCATTATTATCTAACCTCATTGTTTATTTTTATGTACCATCTATTCCTTTGTATAACAGAATAAACTACGCTTCTGGAAAGAATTATTCTAGAGCTAAGAAAAAATTTGGCAACACCTTCAGTGGTTTCGCTTATCATCAGATTATAACCTTTTGCGTTTTCAAAGTGTAAATTTTTTTGAATAACAGGCATCCTTAAAAACAGTCAAGCAAGCCAGAAGTGTTAGATAATTTGAGAAAGCAAGATTTAAAAAGTACAATTAATAGCAGGCTTCATTTAGGTTTGTGAAAGAAATGAAAACTATTAATAGTCAAGCAACACTAGAAACACTAAAACTAAGAGAAATATAAGCCACAGAAGTTAGTTTAATAAATTAGTTCATTTTTTACGACCATCAAACCCAAAATACTTACTCGCGATATGATGGATAAACAGGCTGATAAGAAACAGGTTGAGCATAACTATGACGCTGATAACTATTTGGCATGGGCCTTCAGAAAATAAAAAATGAAATGTGGAACTTTTATCACCAGATTATGAAGAGGACACTGTTTTGAAAATTGATTTATAATTCAAGATGTAATGCTTAAGCATTTGTGAAATAAGGATTTTTACGTTTTAGAATGAAAGCCACACCCTTTAGTATTAGGGTTTATGAATAAAATCTTTCAGAAATTTTACTACATATATTATACGTTTAATCCATTAAGCCTCATAAATAATCTTTGAAATCTTACAAATTCTTATAAACAGAACACAAAGAATATCAATTCGGACATAAAAGAGAACATGCAGTTCATTGTAGAATTTGTTTCTGGCTAGAAAAAAGGAGCATCCCTAAAGTGCTACAATTTATTAAGTAATGGGCATCTGAAGTAACAACATTATCCGAACGTGCATATAAAATGCCTATCGTTAATGAAAGAGATTAATCTCAATAAGTTGGTTAAATTAGTTGTAGAAAGTGTAGTTGACTGATCACCTTTATTCTGCTTGGCCCACAAAATATTAATCATTGAAAGATTTTCCACTTTTGATTTCGATATTTTTATCATTATGGGATATTCGAGAAATTTGTCTGAATACTGGACGCCTTATGGACGACCGTAGAAGTTGTACACAATTTACTTCACATAGTCTCTAGAATGTAATGGCCGCAGTAATGACCTTCATTTTGAACTAGTTCTTCTTTATCTAAATGACAACAGGCTTAAATGTTTAGGAAAGCGCCATGTGTCATAATATTTACTCCAGTTTACATAGTTATTCATCAAACCATAAAAATTGATCCATAGTTCTTCTTAAAATGGAACTGTTCTTCGTTAAGAAGATCAACCATATGCTCATTTTCAGTTCCTGACAGATTTTTAAAACCTTTTAAAACAAATGTTAGTTACGTAACTGCTTTTCCTATTCCCCCCATTTCTTTCAAGCACCAATGATAGCAACAGACTGATAGGACCTGGTCTAAAAATGTTATTATAATTTAATTACGTTAACAAATAGACGTAACTCACTCACGGCACAAAATCGAAAAAAACCAAGATAATCAATGAGTTTTAGTCACAACAATAGTGTATTACTATTATGACCTCTTGTTACGAAGAACTAAAGTACTCACCCAGGATAAAGTGTTTCTGTAGGCTGATAAACTGAAGGCGGACGAACATAGTAGGATTCACGAGGCCTGTTAAAATGCAGAGAAAGTGAGACATATAACTTAAGGTACAAATAGATTTTTCGGGAGTGTTTTACCGTATGCGCTAACTGCTAATCAACTTACATTAAAAATACACAAAATATGTGACTTACAGAATATACAAACGTATATAATCTAGTAAGTTGAACTTCATCAAAATTATCTTGCTTGTTATTTTAGGAGGTGTCTTTTAATCGTTTCAATAGTTATATTTCTTATTGCGTGCCAGTTTTTCCACTCCCTTACAACCGAGGGCCTTATTTGAGACAAACCAATTTTGCAGCCAAAGGCCCACCAGTCACAAAATCCATGAACATTCACAGTTTCAGTCAGATCAGGTTTTTCAGAATTTCAAGTGAATAATAACCATTCTTATTGAAATTCAAAAATAGAACCATAAACTTGCCTTCTAGCAAACAAAAGGGCTGATCAATCGAGCCATGTAGAATGTAACAGAAGTATATCTATTCCACGTCTTGAAAAGCACTTGAAAGAAAAGTTTTATGTGAATTGAATACAAGTTCTGCTACTTGATAACAACGAATATTTTAAACTAATCAATAAGACTGAGCTAGATGAACACTAAGTGGTTAAGGTTTTATAAAAGAATTATTCTGGTGTTTTAATAAATAAGTAATAATTCAAACGTAACTGAACTACAGATTTGTATGACCCAAACGATGTTAAGGTTATCAAAAGTTTAACATTCTAGTTTCACTATCTGCGTCATCAACTCACTTTGTGACTAAAATCCTAATATCTATGAGTATGTAAATTTCTCCTAACATGTTTCTAGGCTTCTAAAATATTTTACTTCAAAGATAATATAGGTTTATTCAATTAAAGTATGGTAAAACATAATCATCTGCTACCTTCTCGTGTGCGACGGTACATTGGATAGACTTATGAAAAGTTTGTTTGCAACACGGCGTCCGGTTAACATTTAGTAATACGACATGCAAACAGAAAAAATCAATGTGATTTTTACCAACAAAACATTAATTGTAGCATTTATGTCTTATAAATCTGGAGAGTTCCGTTCACAAATTTCGCGAAACACTTTAGTTAATTTTCTCTAGTAGTTGTTGGACAGCCATCTCAAAAGTCTCAATCAAGTAAGAAGATAGAATATCTTTCAAGATAAAAGAATGTGTTTGAGCAAAGTGAAACATCTGCTCTTCGTATCGTGTTTTCTGTACAATTTTCCAGAGATAGACGTTTCTGGTTAAAATGGGTTTTTAGAATTTTTTACTTATCTAGTAAGCACCATAGAAGTATATTTATACGTTCTAGACTGTACAGCCCCAAACAGATCGTTGTATAAGACTCCTGATCAATAGATGAATAGACACAAAACATTAGTAAATCTATGTTATATGTTATCCCATGAATACAAAAATGTACTTTGTTTACAGATACCAATATTTTTAGCGAAACGTCAAGAACATTCCTGTATGTCTATGAATTCATATCGATATGCTGAAATGGTGTACTCACCTAGGATAATAGGGTTCTACAGGTTGATATACAGAAGGTGGACGTGCGTAGAAGTCGTCATAATTTGGTTGATAGCGCCTTTAAAAGCGTTTTAAAAAAATAAACGATAACACGATTACGAAACCATAAACTTATATTCAAAAAAAATAAAATCACCCAGATTTTCGCGGTTTTTAATGTTTAGATTAAAATACTTAGTATTTCATAACAAATGCATCGAAATAAAAATAAATACCTTACATCCAATAATCGCCTTATACGTTATGTGATTAAATTTTCATAAATGTGGTTTGCACTTGAGTTACAATGAAATGGATGAAATTGTTTTATATCAAACTAAGAAAAATGTATGAGGTAAAAACATCTTGTGAAACCTGAAATTAAATAACTAAAATGAAACTTTCATCAAACAGTAGCACTCAAAAAACTGTTAAATGAGAAAAATGAAACATATTTTTCATAAATATTTGTTATTCTAGCCTTCTAAATGGAAGTTAGGGGAATTTGTTACAATTTTTTACAATAGTTTGCTATTTTGTTCATTTGAAAACATTTAAGATCCTGCTGAAAAAAAACGTACCTTGAGTTCCTTGATCCTCGATAATTATAGCGATAGTCGTCCTATGATAAAAAATCATATGTAGCACTGAATGAATAGATTCATATACATACGTTTAATTCTCTAAATTTCAAATATAAGGACATCTGTGCAAAACAAATTCAGATTTACTAAGTGCGAATTGCTCTTACCATTTATGTGACTACATAAAAATTTGTCGGACTATTTGTTTGTTTATCATGATTACACCATAAAGTATTTTGATGAAGGAACTCAGTCTAAAAACATAACTGTGGGAAGTTTTATAATTAATAAAAGTAGCTTGGTCACCATTCAAGTAGACGTTTAATAAATATCACTCAGTCAAAGAACTGTTAATTTTTCTATGAAACGTTTGGAACTCTCACGAAATAATTACTGCAGTTATGATTTATAAATGGGGTGACATAAATAGACCATAACAGGTCTAACGTAGCTTACAGTTTTACATTGTTCAAACACAATTGTTATGCTGAATATCACGTGTCTAAAAACTCAATATCAGTCAGATTCTGGGTATTTCTTGTTTTTTGACATTTTAATGAGGCTGAACAACATACTCGATAAGTAACGTTGCTTTACGAATTATAAGAGAGACATGTACATCCCTGCATCTTTAAAGCTGTGACGCTTGTGATACATTTTCTTGAGAAACGGTTGCCTGTCAACCGATATAAATATGTAAACACATTATTTTCATCAAGGAGTATGCACTCATCTCATCATTTATTTAGAACTTTCTCAGGTCGTGATTAACCTTTTTGAGCAGAGCTAATAGTTGTCTGATTGATGTCATTCGATGGCACTCGAAACAATAATTCTAGGTGGAATTTCAATAATTTACTATTTTTAACTGTTACAAGCAAAGAGGTAAACAAAAGAAACAGCATTGTATAAGAGCCATAATAAGCCTAAATCAAAGTACATTTTCTGGGATCCTACTTAAATTAAAGAAATAATTGCTAAATGTGAATGTTTCATTACAAAGAGCCGCACTATTAATATACAACGAAAATTCATCCTTTTAATAAACCTGCACTATGGCTCACATGAAGAGATATGGTTTGGCTTTTTAAGTTGAGCTTAAAGTTGTGTATCAGCATGAAACAACAATTTTGACACTGAGCCATATACATATTCTTATGGTCTGTAACAAATATCTCAGCAACTAATGAACTTTATTTGCCTTCATATTTTGTTAGGCAGTTCAAAATTATGTTTATAGCACAACGATTTATATTTTTATCATAAAATAACATTTTTTAACATGTCGCATTGAATCCACACGCTACCTAAAGCTCCTCAGTTTCAATATGATCAGCTGTTGTAACTTCTGACAGCAAAGACCAGATCTTAAATAAATTCATCTTTTAATAAGCAGACGTAAACCAAAACATCCTAAATTTAGGTGAAGATGGAAAATTTGAGATCCAGAATCAATGTCCCTGATAATATACGACACATTTAATCATTTTCCGTCGGTAGCAAAGTAGCCACTCGCCGTAAATTACATTAAAAACATTCAGATAAGTAAGGATCAAGTTTTTAAGCTGCGATATGTACAGATGACGCCGTACAACATGTGAAATGGAAGATACATCTTAAGGGTTTTTAATTCGCATGGCGAATCAAGCCAACTTTGGAGCATAACTCCCCATAACATAAAAATATCGCACGACCAGCACATAAATACAGCAAAAGTAGTCCGAAAATAAAAACACTGGGGTAACTTTTAAACATACTGCGATCCATGCAGCCAGAGACTAGAATAAGTAAATACTGGATTAAGTTGTATAACTTCAGTTTCAACTGCTTGATTTTTAAATCATCAAGAGCAACCACATTATTACAGGACATGCGGTTGATAATTTGATAGCGTTTGCATAACGTGCATTACTTTTGTATTTGAGAGCCTAAATCAGTAAACTCAGAGGTGTAAACGAGGTGAAGTGACTTTATTCACTAGAAATGCTATCCCATATACCGTTACGGATAACAAATCCCATAAAAGTGGAACGTGCGACCTGATTAGTCGCAGCTTGAAATACGAAAGACAATAGCTGATGACTGATTTGGTCTACTGCAGTCTAGACTAAGGTAAAAGAAGTTTCTCTAGGTCGTTCCAACACATGGTTTTCAGGTAACCGACATTTGATCTTAGGAGACTTTAGTGCACCTACAGTAGACTAAAAAAATCTGAGAACTGAGGTGTCAGAAATTCTTTCGAACAGAAACTAGTTGATGCGGTTATCATGTATATCCAGAGCACATCATATGGAAGAAGCAACTAGGTAGGACTCGATCTACAATTCATGTTTACTAGATCTCATATTGACCCATTATGAGGATAATATCACAAAGCCAACTTACATGCCACCCATTGTTAAAAGTGACCGTGCATCTCTGGTCTTCAACTCCCATATCGTTATCAATAACGATTCGTCAGCTTAAGCTTCCAAACTTGTGCGTAAACATGGAGTACGAGTGAACTCAAAGTTGACTAGCTGAGAAACTGTGCTTAGCGGAGTGCCTCAGCGTACAGTTTTGGGACCAGTGTTTTTCCTCCTGTATGTCGATGGTCATTCTATTTCTCTATTGTCATCATTCTCGTTATATACTCACAATGTCAGGATATGGAGAGTGATAAAAAAACAAAGGTGATAGTTTAGAACTTTAGTGATCTGGACAACTTATCTGAATGATCTAGACTTCGGCAGTTGCCATAAATGCTCTTAATTGCATTATGATGTATACTAGTTACCAAAGTGTAGATATATATGAAGTGAATAACATTGAGCTAACTGTTGTCCAGAAAGTCAATGACCAAGGAGTCACCAATAAACGAGACCTTGCTGTGAGGCAGCAACCAAAGGTTTTCAAGCCCTATTTTATATACGTCCAGCTGTTATCCATATCAATGCTGAGACATTTTTACTTTATATACAGGGTTCGTTTACCCGAAACTTGAGTGTTGGATATGAGCAGCCACTCCCTTTAGGTTAACTTCAGTTGTGTACCACTATTTCACTACGTAAGGGGCCCCGTATACGTTCACCTTGCTCGAACATAATTAAAAGTAAGTTAAATAAGGGTCTCATCAACAATAGATAACAAAAGCTCTGATGATAATAATGATAATATAAGTCAATGATACTTGTTTATGGCAAATAAAAAGAGTCATGTGCAAAACGACCCACTCTAATCCGATCATCCAAAGTTCTAGGTTGTAAATAACCCGGAGTTGTATGACTTCTACGACGACATGACATTTGTAGTTCGTGTCAGAAATGGTACCACGAATACCTGTAACAACGTTTTATATTTCGTCAATGACATACACTAAATATTAAAACAAAATACAGAAAAAAAATATTTCAAACTTAAGATAGGTTTTTCATGAACAATTTAATAACTAACCATATATGTCATATTGTTTGTAAAATGCTCACAATAAGTTTCTAACATCCTATTTGAAACAGTAGGGATTTCGAAAATAAAATGCGAAATCAGATATATTTTTCTTTCTGAAATCACCCAGAGTCAGATCCATCAGTACAATTACTCGAAATTTCAAAGTTATTAGAACGCGGTCCAAACGGGTGTACCCTAACGATTCTGTTTAGCATTGCCCCAGAACGGTGTAACTCTGTTTGTTTTATGTACAGACATTTGAGGGATGATCATGGAAAGTTTTTTTCGGTTTCACATCACTAATGCTTTGACAAATGTCTGTCACATCATCGACGGTCGAGCGAAACTGAACATTTATTAGAATTACGATCTACAACTAAATGGAAGCAGTGTTCACTGTTCACGCGAACAACAGTAAACCTTACAACAACCTAAGTTGATTGGTTAAGAGTTGACAACAAACATCTTGGTAAATATCAGAACATTAAGGCTTAATTGTTCATTTACTACCCCATTTTGTATAGGTATTACATTTTCTATTATTTTATATTTGATGTTGAAAAGCTTTGTGTATTTGTAGGGATAACATCGTGCTCCACTGTTTTCACCAGGGTTTGAAACAAATAAATATTCACTACCAGTCTAGTTTCCTCTATCGATAGAACGAGGGCTACCCAATGTCGCGAAAACCTATCGCCGTCGATGGAAGGCATGTTTTGGGGAATCACATAGTTGGATGACCTGATATACAAGATTTTCACGAACAATAACATTCTAGTCCCTAACAAATGTCTAAATGTACTCGGACATTACAACTTATTCATCGATCCTAAAGAACAGAGATTGGTGGATGGATATGATTTTGAACTTATGTACTATCATAAATAAACCACTAATTTTCGGCTCTTATGCAATGCTTGAAATCGACCAATACTAAAAACTTTCACTCCCTTGATCGCATTTTAAGTAAAGACCGGCCACTCATGCAGAAACATGTCTCTAACGAACCACCAATGGAACATTTTCTTAAGGAGTCTTCAGTCTTCAGTATTAAGGATAGTAGGTTAGTAAACCTGTGTTAATCCTGACAGATTGACTTCTAGTGTAGGTCCAACTTCTCCATGGAAATAGTCACTGATGAGGCTGGTACCACTTTTTCGGGTAAGGCGTTCCAGTCAATGACTACTCAATAAGAAGAACAGGACCTCACTTATGTTTATCAGATCGCGGTTTGTGGACTTTCTTGCTATGACCCCGAGGATTATTTGTGCTGGAGGGAGCAAAAAGATACAACATATTAATACCCAAATTATAATTAGAGATACGAAATGCCAGTACAAGGTCACCTGGCGCCCTACAATACAACAAGGGGAAAAGGTTCAGGCGTTTTAAGCGCTCATCCTAAGGTAGTTTAGAAAGACTCTTCACTAATTTTGTTCCCACACGCTGGACACGCTCAAGGGAGTTAGTAGCCTTTATCAGACATGGGCTGGCTGCTTGGATACAGTGCTCTAAGTGTGGTCTTACGTAGTTGGGATATAAAACTCGAAAAATTTCCTCGTCAAAAGATTTGAACGCTCGGCAAAGTGACCATAACGCACGGAAACATCTGACAGCGGCTGCTTTGCAATGCGTAGTTGTTTTCAAGTCATGACTCATTATTACTTCTAAGTATTCATGTTCCTGAACGCGTGGAAGAGATGCACCATCAATAGCACAATGGTAACTATTACCGTGACCAATGTGTATGAGCACACACTTCCTAGAATAAATCTCTAAACCCCAACCTCGAGTCCATCTAACTAATTCATCTAAGTCAGCTTGAAGATCAAAATGACCAGCCTCACTTCTTATTGTTCTCCAGATCTTCAAAACATCCGCAAACAATAATGTTGACGTTTTAAGCAACAGCGGTGATTCATTAACGTAGAAAAGGGAAAGTAGATGGCATAAGATAGTGCCTTGGGGTACACCACTTTCGACCGGCTTCCATTCGGATAGCGTTCCATTGACCCTCACTCTCTGTCTGCGGTCACATAAAAAGTTTCATATTCATTGCTGTACAGCACCCATTATTCCGAAGCTTAAGAGCTTCTGCATAAGACCTAAGTGTGAAACCTTGTTAAGTGCTTTGCTAAATTCTATAAATATCACATCGACAAACAGGCAGTTATCTAGGGCTGCTGTTCAATTCCCTCTCACAACAAATAAACGGATGTTGCTCGGAAGTTAACTGATTGTGTGAATGAACGTGAAGAAGACTTCGCTAAAGTAGTTCGAAAAACTCTCAGCTTTTGCTCGATCTGATTCATCTAGTAAATTTGAATTTTAGTGTAACAGTAACGGGGGAATGCCATCAATACGTTTCATTCTCCGTTTAATATACAGAAACAATCGTTATTGACAAGTACGGCTATCGTATACTAACTGTCGTTCGTAAGTGTTACGGTATTTGGCTATTGTTTTCTTAAAGATATTACCGAATTTTTGGTACTCACGCTTAAATGGTTCATGACCTATCAACAATAATATGTCCCAGAAGTGTTTCCTACGCTTTAACAGCTTCCGGGTTTCCTTAATAATACATGGAGGGCAATGTGATAGCTTACGTGCTGAACATAGGATAAACGGTGACGTCACGAACTCCGTGGCCTATAACTATTCCATTCATCTTCGATCAATCCATCCGCGTCAACCGACCAATCAGTCGAGATAGCACGGTCTCTGATTGCCGGGATATCGACTCGCAATATTTTGGGACGGCGTAGAGCAGATACGAATTGTATACCATGTGTCCTAAACGAAAGTAATACCTAACGTATAATATTACACCTCCCCCTTTGCGACTTGAAACTCTATCACTTCTAATACAGATATAGCCTGCAATGAAAAGAGTACAGTCTATATCTACTTTGAACCAAGTTTCTGTAACAACGATTATATCGAGACATAATTCTTCCACCATCAGACTTACCTCGGACGTTTTATTTCTAAGACTACGAGCGTTCGTGCAGCACACACTTAAGGTGTTTTGGCGATCAATCGTTCTACGCATGCAGTCCTCGGAAGCATTGGCTTTCAAGACCTGACTACCCGAAAACCCTTAATGGTAAGGTTGTTTTCGCCATTTAATTTGCGAGTCCTCAGCATTCTTCCACTTGATTCGATCCTCAAGCGGCCAATCTAGTCGAATACGGATATTTGAGTCACGAGTTTTTAGTGCGTTTTTCAATAACATGTCTCTATCTTCAAAACTCCTAAGAACCAGCCCCAGGATTCTTCTTGGTTGGGTCTCGCCTCCAACCCATTTACCGAGTCGTATTACTTTTGTAATATGTACCCCTGAAACCTCTTCAGGTAGCACATTTCTTACCACAGACTCCACTAACTGCAGGTCATGTGCATGTCTTTTAGCAGGGTCGTTGTCTTTCGACTCTTCTAGATTCCAAAGAATTAAACTAGGGAAGGGTTTAGCTTCTTTTGAAACTGTGTTCACAGCTTTCAACCGTGACGTTAGATCCTGTATTTTAACTCCTGGTATCTTACGATTAGTTTTTCTTACAACAGAGTCCTGAGAGTCGGGCAAGTGACTCACAACAATGTTAGACGAAGATTTACTATAGGACTCAGGCCGATCGATCTGAGAGTCCACCAAGGACTTATCAAGTAAACGGTCATTAGTTTTAGCTGTCTTTCCTACTCTTCTGCGTTTCCGTACCATCCATATTCCACCAGTAGTAGAATCCACATCAGAACCACTCGGGACAGTAATTGTTTTATCCGGGTCACCGGTTGCTGCTGTAGTAACATGGCCACCAACGTCTAATTAGGTGTCACTCACTGATCGAAGGAGAACGTTTAATTGCGGGTTGCACAGGTAGATGTCTGGCTTGCGCCGTGACAGCACTTACGACACTAACGCAATCTTCGCCATCATTGCCAATGTTACCAGTAAAACCCTTATCAACCTTCTTATAAGCCAACATCAGGAGGCTAACTGCTTCCTGGATGAGTAATGTTTTGCTCGAGCAACACAAACCACAAAGTCAATGATATTTGGGCTTTGAGCACCTTTTATATGCGGTGGGGCCTAATCGGGTGCATATCTTTTTGAACCACTTATTACACTCATCACATTGCATCCCTTCCTCCACGGGAAATAAGCAATATAGTTGTCCACATTTATGAGCAGATCTAGCTATATTGAAAATCAACTAGAACGGTGACAAAAACAGGATATGTAAAAGGATTCTCAAACCTTAACTAAATAAATCAAGTAAAAGTCGACCAAGTATGCTTCGACGCAATAAATACACAAAAGCAAAATCGAAACACTCAATACAATATCACATTAACTGGGGTAGATGCAATTAAAGTGTAAACAGTAGTTTTGATGCGTAATTTACGATCACTTGTGCTCATTTAGTTCCACCTACCTTAAACAGTACTGTTTCGCAAATTGTTAGTTAGTACATTATTTACAGTACTTCTACTTATCACCCCGTCGTTGAAATGGGGTGAAATCTTGGACAGTCGAATATTAATTCATGTAGGGATGGCCTTGAGAACTTTGAAATCTAGTAAACGACTAGAATCGATATTAAAGATGTTAAATTACCAGCTTATCTCCCGACGTTCATCGGCGAACAAGCTTATAAACTATTAAAGAATTCGACTATTCCTGACAAACTAATTTCACGCTTATATGAATCTCCCAGAAAATTACTATTTATTCATGTCCAGTGTGCCAGCTTTGAATGCAGAGAGAGGTCAAAGTTTCACAAAATGCTATGACAAATTTATCAGAA